TGCATAACTACTGGCTACCTAGCCCCGTACCGTATTCTTGTTTGGGTGTGTGGTCACAGCATGCAAATCTCGTGTGACCCCCCCCGTTATTAGGGTATGTGTACCCCCGTTACAACTTTCCTACAAGGACAAGAGTCACGCCGAACCCGGCACAAATCATCATGCAATGACTTCAATTCAAGCCGTATGAAGACACTCACCGCGCTGATGCACAGCAATTACACACCTATGCTTAATGACATTCTGCCCACGTCCAGGGCGAATCCAGCGCGCGATAGTCGCTCCACGAGCGTTTTGCAAGCCTATAAATCACCCCCTTGTAGTACTGTCAGCAGCTGTAAGGAGATCACTTACCTTCCACGTAGGAAATACCTACACGTGCGGTGCAGCGGGGCTACCGTAGCGTTGCACTTGAAGGAAGCGTAATTTAGGTCATCGACCTTTCGTATACTTAGAACAAGTACGAGTAAGCAGATCGCAATCCGCTTACTCCAAAAATAATTATTGCCTTAACCCAGGGCTAATTACTCTTCCGTTTAAAATCCAAAGTTGATGTTTATTTATTTTTATCTGCGGCAAAGCCGCCTAATTTTAAATGTATAGATTTTCTTAAATATGTTTAGTAAAATCTAAATATATGCATAACTACTGGCTACCTAGCCACATACCGTATTCTTGTTTGGGTGTGGTCACACCATGTCCATCTCTTGTGACACACACCCTATTACCAGGGTACGTGTAACCCCGTTACATCCCTTGTCTGTAGCCTTTAAGCCTTTGTTACGTCCTAAATTTAACACAAAACAAAAGGGACAGACGATAATATGCATTAAAAGCAGACTCTGCTGAGCTTGACGCCATAGTTAGAAAGGAAGTTACAATTTCAACATTTCAAGAAGATGCAAGTACATCTTATATTCCAAGTAATGTTCTGAAAGTGAGGCCACGATTCCGACCATACGAGCTATAAGTATACAAAATGTTTTGAAGATAACTAGTTGTGTCCTCAACTTCACCTGTATCCGCGATACCTCTAATCAAGAGCCGCCATTCGGCTATAAATCGCTCTGAGCGTCGTAGTTCAATGTGCAGACTAGCAAAATCACTGAAAAAAACTGAATCCAGTTTTGCTGCATGTCGTGACTTGCGTGTGAGGGTCATGTTCCGTTGGCACTACTTAACAAGCAAAACGCTCCCCACTTAAATGTATGAAAATGGGTGTTGACGATCTTACAAGGGTGTGCCTCCATAATATGAAACCACTTTAAGATAAAAGTTTGAGGTTTCGTAACATTCAAACTTTGTGATTTGTACTTAGCAGAGTAAATTACTGAATGATATCGTCTTTTTCATTGAAGCTGTCTTGCAAAGCCATCATATGGACAAAACAACGCAATTCATTCTTCCGGTGCGAGTATCTGAGAACTTTTAACCTTTAGTACATTTTGCAGCGCTTACTTCTGGAGGTTCGATCTTAAGGGAGAATACTAGTATACCAGACAGCTTCAGATTCAATCGCAAGCGGTCATCCAAAAAATAGTGGCGCTCAAATTATAAAAACACCATCACGGCTCGTTTGCTTTTGTCTTTGACGAAAGATTCACACGAATAGGCGTCGCCGCAGCGTGATGCATGACATCTAATGGTTTACATCCATAATCACGACGTGATAAAGTCGGTTGCAACTTTATCAAAGTCACCGCTTATTGTACACTTCCTGACAGCCAGCATTAATTCATTGAATGTGACCAAGGTGACTTGTAACGTAAAGAGACTGAGAGTTCCACCTCGCATACTTTTCCTCTCAAAGGTTGGGGACAGAAATACAGCAAGCTACCTGTGCAGAGGAGTTGAGCAAGTATCATACTAAACGTTACCGCAGACAAAGAACGGCTCCAGCTTCTAGCTCTCAATAAGGGCGCAAGTATTGAGTCAGCTTTCGAAAGTCTTAATGATTGTTCTTATTGGAGGCCGACTCAACTGCCGCACTACGTTCAAATAAATCTGCGCTGGTCGCATTTTTATCCTTAGGCTATCAAAGAGCAAGTTGAAGCGACTACTTCAGCTAATTCTCGTAAGTATTGACACAGTATGGCTATTTGAGAGAAAATACCCAGCGCAGTGGCTGCTCGTGAAGGCTTCACTATGTCATTTAATATCAACTGATTGTGACCCCATTGGAACTCTCCTTTTGGTGTTGGAGAAAAAATGCATGCACACGTTTCTCGGCCATAGAGCAAAACTCAAAAATACCATTATGAAGTACTTACTAGAAAAAACTTCATTATATATTATAGTTAACTTTGAAAAAAGGGATGTGTGGGGCGTGTTCTCATGCTAAATCATATCGGTGTGTGCTCAAATAGTGAGACGTAGAAATGTTACCTCACTTCACCTGGACACACGTCACCATCGACATTAGAGCAAAGTATGCACTAATCATTATCGAAGCTGCATGTAACTTTTAAAAGATGATAAATCACTTTCAGAGACCATTTTTGTCGCAATTGAGAATCTGTTTGAATAATTGGAATGTTCATGACGTCGTGCCGTTCCCCTGGAGAGGGTCTTAGCAAGTTTCATGATATTTGATTATGGAAAGCTAGGTCGATCTGGCGCAGCATTTAATGCGAGTTTCTTGAAACCAAAAGTCTAGATATTTTCAAAAGGCCACAATGATCTGAAAGAATCCTTCAGGACTGCTAATGCCGTCCTGACACTCGCTTCCATTTGAGTACCTCATTACATGTCGGATGGTAAGCTCTGATTCCGGTACAACCAAAGTTTACTTGGCGATTTAATTATTTTGCATATCTTGCATGTATCCCTAAGAATTCACGCCTAGACTCCTCCGAAAGCTTTTGCTTGGAGGGAAAATAGACAGCTAATACCCTATTTTTGCCCCGCTCATGGCTACCCTTCACGAGATGCTGTGCACGATATTCAAGCGCCTGGACACAATCCAAAGATCGCAACAGACCGGCAGCCAAATACAATCCCTACGCCATCATCCTTGCGGCTGGCGACGAAGTATTGTAAGAAATACCCTATGTAGCATCGTGATAATATGAAGCAAATGTTTTATGTAGCAGCTGAAATTAAAGAAAGTGAGAACTTCTTTCCAATAATAATTCAAAAGGACACCTTCTCAGCATAGCTGAGATCCATTGGCTCAGGCTCGCTCGACGAGCTCTGAGTGTGTGCATTCCAACCAAGTCGTGCCGACTTGAAGTTGAAGTTGGCATTCAATGCCATGTACACCGCTTTTTCAAATGAAGACGGATGCAATCGGAAGACTATCATTCTGGGCATCTGGCCACGCCAGTGCGAAGGCCCTCCATGATGACGGTCACTGCGACCGCCTCGGGGAGTGGATCTGCTGTCATCCCGTCAATGAGAGTTATCAACTCTTGGACAAAGCCCACCAATTCCAACTTGCCCTGTCGGTCAGCAAGAAAATGCGATCTCACGCGATATGCCTGATTAGGCGGCGAGGAGGGAAACCCAACTTAAATCGAAGCACCACAAGTTAGTGCCCGTTTTCACGCACGGCTCCCGAGCTTGGAGATAGCTAGCACCACGCGCTGTTGCTCATTTTGAAGCATGGCGGATGCCATAGCCATCTCGGCCTCTCTTATCCAGAGCAGGAGATTTGCTCCACCCTTACCCTTGAAGGTCTAAACGGTCACCATATGCTGCCTAGGTCGGAAGGAATCTTCCATCGTCGACGTCGGCATTATAGAAGCAGTCGACGCTGACAGCTTCTTCTGTAAGTGCTCTAACATAGCATTTTCATAATTTGAAAACTCCTCTAGGCGCGCGCTTATGGTTTCGGGCCCTTGTGCAACGAGGTGCTCCACGCCCTCGGGGCCCAGCAGGGTATCAGCCTATTAAGCCCGTCCTGTACTTCCTGAGGCAAATAGGAGTATTTCTCCAATCCTCCAGAGGATTGTTGTTACGACTCAGGCGTAAATAGACTACGAATGCTACCAAGTGCAGCGGGGCTGCCGTAGCTCTTTACTTAGAGAAAGCTAAGCTTAGGTAACCATCCTTACGTTCTTTCCACAAACCAGTACAAGTGTAGCGGATTGCAATCCACTACTTCTAAGTACTAAAACCTTAACCAAGGCAAACGAACACTTCTGTTCAGAACTGACACTGTATTCAATGCGGCAGAGAATATCTTAAACCCTAAGTTTTCCTAATTAATATAGCAATACCTAACTAATATAGCAAAACCTAATTAATATATTAACGTGGATCACCATTGGCAATCCTGCCACGTGGCGGCTTCTTGTCACGGTGTAGCCACACATCTGTGTTATCACACAAATTGTGTCAATCCACACCTATGTACGGTCGCGCCATTCTTACAAGGGCACGAGTAACCCCGTTACTGTAGTCAGGTCTAGCCAGCTCTGCTATTTGAATTAATGCAATGTAGACTAATACCATAAGAAACGTTTAGCTCATATGAATATACAACTATCACTAAATTTTGATGTTCGACTGGAATCACAAATCCTTCTTTTCCAGATATTCTGGCGCATATGAATTTTCACAATCACTCCAAAATGTATTGTATGTTGTTTAATTGTTTCGTATTGTATTGAATTCAGCATGCATATCCAAATATTCCGGTTAGCTGATACGTTTATAATAAGTAAATGCTTTATTGGAATAGATTATCTTTTTAGAGTGAGATGAGGCTAACAGCGTACGTATTCACGAGCCTTTCTTCCCATCATTTCCATGAGTGCCAAATTTTTGGACTATCTGAATATTTACAATTGCACAACTATGAAAATGTGTGGTATGTACACAAGTACAATTGGACAAAGGCGTAAAGTACTCAAAAACAATTGTACTGTACGTTATCCGTTACATGTGTGAACAAATCCTGATGGCAGACGTTAAGCAGGGTACGTACTGTGTTTTTGTACGTACGCCATACAGGATCACACTTTTTGTACGATTGTATAAAATACACATTACCCTTTTTTGTATACGTAAATCCAGCAATTTGGGTATTTTCCTGGTAAGAATATTATGACGATGTATACTCAAAAAAAGGTTGCATAGCAATTTAAATCTGTCACATTTAAAAATAAAAAAAGCACAATTGAGTAGCTAGTAGCCCAAATTTTGTATACTGTATACCCAAACACCAAGACAGAAATAGGACGATGTAGACGTACCCTGTTACACTTACGTCGACGAGATCCCCCCGCTTAAACGGATCATGATTACTTGGCTGGCTTCAATTTGGTACCACACATTTCTAAATTTAAAACGACAGAACAATTTGTCCATTCTCCACACATTTATTACTCTACTGCTATTATCATGGCCGAAGAAACGTGTTGTGGTTGTAATACTCTCGATGACAATGAATACGACATGGAAATGCAAGTCGGTTCCGTTTTTATAATGTTTGCCGTTGGAGCGATAGGTACGATGGTACCAATCATTTCGAAGAAGATTCCGCAGTGTAAGTCTAACTCAATTATAATGGAGGGTATTAGCTCCTTTGCATACGGTGTCGTCCTTGCTACGGGTCTCATTCATATGATTATGGAGGGTACAGAAAAGCTTAGCGACGTGTGTCTTGGATCAATTGTCGAAGAGTACGAGAGTTTAGGTCTTGCCTTTGTGCTAATTACTCTTGTGGTCATGCATTTTATTGAATGTGAAAGCACCGTTTTTTTTGGTGATCATGGCTCACCTCATCATGGACATGGTCACGTTCATAATGAAGTGATACAAGATACTGTCGTTCCTTCTGATAGTATACTTGGAGAATATCCATATCAAAAATCTCTGGACATTTCCAACCGCTCAAAACTTCGTCGTAAAGTTGCAACGCTTATCTTTGAAGCTGGAGTTATTTTTCATTCCGTCATTATTGGACTGAATTTGGGAGTGACAGCAGCGTCTGAATTCAATACTCTTCTTGCAGCACTTTGCTTTCATCAGTTCTTCGAGGGTATTGCTATCGGTACATCTTCTCTCAGCTCCATCGATACAACACGCAAGTTGTTGATGGTTAATTTCGCTTTTGCTATTACAACTCCAACGGGCCAAATAATTGGCATTGCAATTCGAAACTCATATTCAGCTTCTTCGTCGACTGCGCTTTGGGTACAGGGTATACTGGGTTGTGTTGCTGGAGGTATCTTGCTTTACACTGGTCTGGTGGAACTACTTACTTACAACATGACCACAAACGGCCAATTTTTGTCGCGCCCTCTGGCTGAACGGTACACACTATACATCTGCTTGTGGATGGGTGCAGGTTTGATGGCTTTGATCGGAAAGTGGGCGTGAACAAGCTCTAGGAAACTATCAATTAGTTGTAGCCGTACTTGCAGTGCTCAAAGATCCTCGTGAATTTAGTTCTCACCATTTTGGATGGGCATTCATATATCTGTTTATACCGAAAGTGATCCAATGTGAATGGCCAAATGTATGCTCTGCTTTTTCAGTGATTGGCTTTTGAATAGATGGAACTTTTCCTGCTCAGACAACACGATGTCGCAAAAGTTGACAATAATGAGGATTACAGTAGAAATTTTTGTAAACTCAAATTCAAATCACAATTTTAACAAAATTTACAAAAATACAACAACTTGGTGGCAATCGACCACTTTTGGACAAAGTTGTTGTCAAGAAACGATCGGATCTGAGGATTACTTGTGCATTTATTGTTTTCTGTCTCTACGTGCAGTGCGATGTAATTTGACACCGCTATTCTTAGATTCGAATGAACCCTGCGGAAAAAAAACAGTTACGAAGAGAAGATCAGCTGCTCCAGAATATTAAATTATCTGTCCTGAACAACCTTTTTAATAACTTCATCACGCATAAATCAAATCGCGGTGGTCGCAATACATGCGAAAGCCACAACGTAAGCAACTGTAAAGGGGTTACACATACCCTGGAAACAGGGGTGTGTAGATGGGCATGCTGTGACCACCCAAACAAGAATACGGTACGGGGCTGGATAGCCAGTAGTTATACATTTATATAGATTTTTACTATACACATTTAGGAGAATCTATACATTTAAAATTAGGCGGCTTTGCCGCAATTAAAAAGAAATAAAGTCACTTTTAGAATTTAAAA